TCGCCCTCTGCTCCCCTTAGCAGTGTATTTCAGTAGCTCTGCTTGTTCTGTTCCCCACTCTGTCTCTGGTCAATCCTCTCACCCCCCTGCATCTCTGGCCTGTACCCCAGCTCTTGTATGCATAAATAAATCTTAAAAAAATAATAAACTTACTTTAAAAAAAAGGAAAAAAAAAGAAAAAGGCTAACAACCATTAAACTGTACAATTTAAACAAGTGAGCTGTTTAAAATTATCTCTTGACAAAGCTATGAAGAAAACAGATTTAAATGGGAGAAATAAAGAGGTGAGTAGCCTGAAGGGTCATAGTTTATAACTATAACTTTATATCTTTAAGGATCCTAATGTATTTAGTTATTTTTAGTTTATTTTTTTTTAAATTCTTTTTCTGGATTAATCTTTTCCTTGTTGATTTTAAGGGCTATCTTGGTTACTCTTCTTCCTGTATTTGAAACTATTATTTTGAGTTGAAAGCATTTGTTTCTTTGCATCTGTTTTTCTATGTGTCCCTCTGGCTATCTTTTCCTGTCTAATGGTTTTGTGATTGCCTTCACTCAGTCCTCTGATGACTTCTCCCAAAAAAAGAATAGTTGATGTTTGGGTCACCTGTCCCCATGGTGACATATGGATATGTCAGATACAGTCTGTGAATTCCAGAAAGCTTGGCTCAGGTACTTAATGAAATGCTTTTTCTGTTTTCCCCATGGACCCTGAGATTCCTGTAAGTCAAATGACAAGCTACCATAGCAGCTGTTTCTCAGACTTCTTTCATGCTGGTGCTGTTGTTCCAGTTTCCTTGCCTCTGGTAGTACGTTTTAATTCCCAATTCACCACCACAGGGATTAAGACATTGTTGTTTGTGGATCCAGAAAATACAACTTCCATGGCTTTGGTCCAGCTGCCACTTTGTGCTCCTATTCTACTTTTGATCTACACAGATGTTTGTTTACTTTTTGGTGTTCTCTCGTTTTATCTTGTCTTTGATTGAAATGTATATGGGGCAAGAAAGTGGGTAGAACATGAATTTATAGTGCCATCTTGACTGTGTAATTTTTAAAAAATAATTAATTTTTTATTTTTACATCATTGTTCATTTTTATTTTTTTTAAAGATTATTTATTTATACAAGCACTGGGTACAGTCAGAAGCGCTGGAGGGTGAGAGAATTCACCAGAGCCAGAGCGGGGAACAGAACAGGCAGACTGATGAAGTACACTGCTGAGGGGAGCAGCGAATGTGGCAGGAGAGGTCTGCGCACCATGTGGGACCCTGACCGGTTGCTGGGGATTGAATCGGCGCTGCAGAGGCTGCAGGCAGCTTCGCAGCCCAGCGCTCAACCGCTGCACCACCAGGGGAGGCCCCATCATTGTTCATTTTTAAATAATATTTGCTTCCCCCATCCTCTCAGGTGTAGTTCCCATAGAATTTCCTTCACCAATGCACCCGTCCACCATCACCTCAGTCCCTGTGCTCCTCCCTCCCTCCCTCTGATCCCTCTCCCACCTCCTCCCCTATAGTATGTCTCTGATTTATAATTGTTTTTACAATTTATAATTGTACTGTTGTTATTTCCTTACACTGATGTTTTATTTGGCTCCCCATATTCCTGCTATCTGATATTTTTCTTTTCCCTTTTGGCTTATTTCACAGAGCATAATTCCTTCTAGCTCCATCCACCTTGCTGTGAATGGCATGAATTTATCTTTTTTGATTGCTGAATAATATTCCATTGTGTATAAATGCCACATTTTCTTGATCCAATCATCTATTTTTGGGGCATTTGGGTTGTTTCCAGGTTTTGCCTATTATAAATAGTGCTGCAGTAAACATAGGGGTACAGGTGTTCTTTTGGATCAATGTTTTTGTTTGACTGTGTATTTTTCAGGCCAGTGCAATTTTAGCAGAAAGTTTCAGAGTATCAAATGCTCCATGTTAGAAAAGATAGAAATTTTGTTCTAGAACAAAACATATGGAAGTGGATAAGAGTTATATATATCTGGTTGTAAATAAAATATAAAAGAACCAATGAAATGACAAAGCTGAACACATAATTTGCAGAATCATAGAAATCAAGTCCTAATGATAATAAATTTCAAAGGAACATCTGCAAACAGATCAATACAATTCTTTAATTTCTACTTTTGTTGCTGTAACAGACTGTTCTTACTGTTATATTTAGCTTGGTTATTGTGTTTTGGTGCATCAATAGTTATATTAATTTATTCAAGAAATATTAATTATGCTCCTGCAATTCACAAAACATACTGCAAGGCCATGGTGATACAGGGAGGAATAATAAATGTTTCTTGCCTTAAGGAATTTATAATTAAGGAAATCAGCCACACACACGAAGTTACCATTTCATTGTAAGATAAGTGTTATGAAGGCTGCAGGCACAATATGATTTAAAGGCATAGTAAAGGGATGAGTAAAGGGATAAAGGGATGAGAAATTCTTATTTGGTGTGGTTCTGGAAAAAGGTAATCTAGAAAGCCTCACAGAAGAAGCAGCATATTGGGAGCTTCACAATTTCTATGAGTGAGCAGTTATCTTTTTTTTTTTTTAAAGATTTCTTGATTTATGCATACAAGAGCTGGGGTACAGGCCAGAGGTGTGAGGGATGAGAAGATTCACCAGAGACAAAGTGGGGAACAGAACAGGCAGGTTGACTGAAATACACTGCTGAGGGGAACAGCAGGCAAGTCAGGAGAGGTCTGCTGCACCACGTGGGTAGCTCCCTGGCTGGGGATCGAACTCATGCTGCTGTGGCTGAAGATAGCTTCATAGGCTGTGTCTTAACCCCTTGCACCACCAGGGAGGTCCAAGAGTGAGCAGTTATCTTGATGGAAATAGGGACTAGGGGAACTAATTTGTGTTATCCAGCACACTATTTTAACTTAGAATATAGATATATTTTGGACAGCTTTGAGAAGCTAACGAGGATTATGAGAAAGTGAGAGGCCCCTCTTCTCCTCTGTCTCATCCACATTTTCTCATGTCACTTGCCAAGCACATGGGTTTTCATCTACTTAGGATGAGGAGTTCAAAGTAGATGGTCCTTGGATGAACAAAGATGATAGTACTAGTCAATTTTAGGAAAGAGTAAATTTATTGGCATGGTCAAAATGCAAGATAAAAAGTAACTGACTTGGGGATGAAAAGATGACCTATCTATAATGCAAGTCATATTGTATTACAGACTAAAGAGGGTGGACTTTTCTTTGGAGAACAAAAGAGATCTTGAATGGCTTAATGCTGGAGAGTGAGGGGATCCATTTTGAAAAATTTTTGAAATATAGACATCTGGGAAAATGAAAAGGAGAGGAAAATGACTAGAACTAGTGACCAATCAGGAAAATACTGGAAGAGTCCAAGTATGAGATAATGAATATTAGATAGACTTGTCATGGGGCTAGGGGAATTAGAAATTCATACTTCTTTTAAAAAGTTTGAAATGCTACAACAGAACAGTGCTTCTATTAACATTTCTTTGTGAGAGGTTTTTCTAGTTGAGATACAAGAATACTGGAGTTTTAACATTAAGTTCGATGCTTGAGGGCAATGTTTTTTAAATAATCAGAGTATTATTTATTTACTATATTCCTGATGGGGCATATTCAAGCAGTATATGGGGTTATTTAGGCATGAAAAGAATTAACTGACTAGGTCAGGCCCTATGTTATTACTATTTGGTAACATATAAACACGAGCACTTTTGTATTATAGAGGAAACAATACAAACCTTGTTATTGAAGGGAGAAATAAACCTCAAATGAGAATATGTATTTTAATAAAATGAATCCCAAATTGAATAAAAACATAAAAACATGTCTTCTTGATAAATTCTAAGTTCCATGAAAAAGTTGACCTCTACATTAAACATTGCTCTTTTTAATGGAAGAATTTTAAATTAAACAATCTTGAATACTATTTCTGCCAACAAAATAATTGCATGCTAAATGAGAATAGAGAAGAGCTAGTTAGATACAGCTATTCTACAAACTACCCCACAAACTAATATGAAACAGTCCCTTCTCTTTGCACAAATAGGAAAAATGTTTTTGCATCTTCCCTGATCTAGTTCAGCAACTAGAAGACTTTCCTTACATTAGAGTGACTCCTATTGTTTTCCTACAAGGAACAGTATCTACTGATCCTGTAGTAATGTTTTAGACACCATTCTAGGGACTTTACATAAGGAATTTTGTTTAAACTCTGAAAAGCAATTAAAATGTGAATGATCTCTCTCATTCATTTGACTTCAGATTTCTAAAAGCCTAGAAAGGAGATTCCCTTATTTGACTGGCCCAAAAGGGAGCCACCCCACCCTCTGATTATAAGATTCTCCCAAATATCCCACTCACTGACAACATTTTAGAATTTTCTGTATGTAGGTATATGGCTATTGTTTCTAGTTAAGAAAATTCCTAACAGACTCTAATCTAACAACAAAAATAAGAATCAGATCATAAAAACCTGTGCTAAGTATGATTCAAAGGGAAAAAATGAGCTGCAGTGGAAGCCAATTTAAGCTGGAACGACTTGCACTGTTAAGTAACCAGACATGTGTAGCCACTTATGAAGCTGTCTGATCACATATGTTTTAAAACATCTGTCAGCACAATCAGAACTTCACATGCAAAACAGAGCACTCACAAGTGCTATGAAGATATGTTTGTGATGAGGAAGTGAGCAGATTTCACAGGTGAACACAGGTTGTTATTGGTTTAGCTGAAGAAAGCTTAGTGCAAGAGCTCCCAAAGGCTCCGAGTCATTTACTTGAACATAATGTTTTAAGGACAAAACTGCAACTGGCAATAAAGCCTATAGTGCCCCGAAGAAACAGAGAGGTCAGGAAGTAGCAAGAAGCAGGAGAAATTAGAAAATTACAGCTTAATTTATGGCTTCAGAGCTGAGTCTAGCTTCACTCCATTTTGTGATAAAAAATATTCAGTGACATTTCCCAACACAAAAGTTCCCAAGTGTAAATACAGTTCCAAACCTGCAGCATTTGTTCTTCCTCTGAAGACATCGTCATACGCTTTCCACTGTGACTTCACCTGGTAGGCGTGGATGAACACCACAAACACCACCACCAAGCACATTAAAGGAATGAGGGCTGCTGTGAACAGAGCTGCGTAGATGTTTGGAATGAAACACCTGGAAGAGAGACGGGAACAGATAAGACTCAAAAGTTTCTAATTTCTAATTTCAGAACGTCTTAGATCATTGCTTTGTATTGGCTCTTGGGATCTACATTTTGACAACAGCGGATTTTTGGTTTGGCAACATAAAGCCTTGTTTGAGTGGAGGATACATGATTCAATCTAACCCACCACTCCACAAAGGAGGTTCCACGGAACATGCATCTCCTGAGATGCTAGAAAACATCAAAAAAGTTTCAACCAAATAAATTCGAGAAAGGCACACTTGTTTTTCCAACTCCATCTTCTTTGCTTTATGAGACCAGGTTTCTTTGGGGGAATGCATGAGAGAGGGTATTATTTAAAGGTAAATTTGAGGATTCTTAAGGTTCAACTCTGATTCCACACAATCTTGTTTTTTGCGTAGATGACAGTTTTGTCATTATTAAGCTATACATTTCCCCCAAAGACAAACATTTTTCTCCAAAATGATGATTTTCCATTTAGAAGTTATGCTGCACACTTTTTACTATTATTACTGAGTTATCTTAGAACAATGAGGTCCAAGGTAAACAGGCATAATTATTTTGGGAATGTGGAAATTCTTTGGAAAATTATTTTTGAGATGTAACAGGAAATTTTAATTCACGGGTCATACAACCCTCTTGTTGTTTACATAAAGCCTTTCACAAAATGGAGGACTCTCAGATAATTTCTTAAATATCTGAAACTGTTATTGAAGTATTATTAAAAGACTATATATACCACCCTCAACTTACAAGGCTATCATACTTTTTTAATTACAAGAAACCTTAATAGTAAGGAGCATCTCTTTTCAAATCTTTCTCCCCAACTTAAAATTTTTAAACACATGGTATTTGTAAACCTAGATTACAAATATAGCCATAAAGTATGGATCCTGGATAAAATTCAAGGAAAAATATGTAGCCTGGTTAGGAGGTCTCGTGCTGGCAAGCACAGGGCATGATCATTATGCATTTTGGAAGGTGGATAGAGTTCTGGAGCCGTTGGTGGATTTTTCAGGCTTTCATGCTCTCAAGGAACCAGGAACACAGGCACATCAGGCAGCGAGGCTGGCATGCAGGGAGGCAGGCACAGGCTGGGCAGGGTGGAGCTGGGAGGCAGGCAAGTAACCACGCCTTCCAGTTCCCCAAGAGTCTTCAGGCCTTCTCTACGCTCTCTCTGGGCTCTCTCTCATATGTCCCCATGGTCGCTAGTGGTGTAAAAAGCCTGATTAATTCACGTACCCTACAGGAGGTAACTTCAATGTTCAAAATATTGGTATTCAAGGGAAACACCCTTAAACTTGGGAAAATAGTGCCTGTTTTATATTTTAAAAGACACACAATGCATGTGTTTATCTTTTTTGAATGCTGAGTAATATTCCATGGTGTATATGTACCACATCTTCTTGATCCAGTCATCTATTTTGGGGCATTTGGGTTGTTTTCATAGCTTAGCTATTGTAAATAGTGCATGAGCTGGAAGGGATATAAGCGTAATAAGCCAGAAAGAAAAAGAAAAATACCAGATGGTCTCACTCATAGCAGGAATTTAGAAAACCTAAATAAGGGACCAGGAAAAAGACTAATTATAATAAAGTGAAAATCGAAATCAACAAGCAACTATAAATCAGAGACATACTACGGGGTTGGGGGAAGGAGGAGGGATTAGAGTCAAAATGAGGGGGGGGGGGAGTGGGAATTGTATGGGGAATATAACCAAGATGAAAATGCATACATTGTGTAAAAATGAAAAATGATGTAAAAATATATAAAAATAAAATATCAAAAAAAGACACACATTATTTAAAACCTTGCTCAGGAAATATTTCTAATTAACATGACCTGCTAAATGTATTCCTCCTGTAAACAAGATGTGTGCCCACAAATATATCAATACACATTCTGCATCTACAAAGATATGGCAGAATGATAAATTTCCTGACTTTTAGAAATAAATTTGGATAGCATGAAGCCTGAATCCTTCCTGTGCACTTATCTGTAGAAAATCACTATCTTCCAGGTAAAATGCACATGATTAAATAAAACAGGCAGACATTAACAACCTTGAATATATTTTGAATTTAAAATAGTGGTCATGTTGCTGACTCAGTTTTTTGTACATTGGCTTTAACCAATTTCATATTGTTTCCATCAAAATTTTATATTCATGGACATAGACTGGCCTAAGGTGCTGAGACAAATTCAGAGACTGATAAAGGGACTTACACAGTCTTCACTGCTTTATTTTATCTTAAAAAATGTCATCATCATAATTCAAATTCAGTCCTCAAATTGGGGGTAATTAGTGAATAGGTTGTGAGCTGCTCTAGGAGTAATACACATTTTGTGCAGAGTGCTATGGCATAGGTTTGACTCTCCAACAGCCACACTGTCTAGGGGATGAAGCACTTGATTGTCATCTCTATTTGAAGTGCTTTCCCCCAAATTTCCATTTACTTCAGAGAACAACCTTTGGGAGCAGAATCCTAACTAATGGTGCACAATTCTAGTCAAAAATAAAACTGAAAAGTGGACCTCTAGAGGTTAGAAGTAACCAGTGGCATTCTGGAAGAGAAGGGAATTCTACTCTTAAACATCTCCTTCTTAATTCTCCCAGCTGGTAGGATGAAGACTTGTCCATCCTGGCTCATTCTTTCAGAAAAAGGAGCAGGAAAATTATTTTATCCTTAAGTTACTCCTTTTCCCCTCTGTTTCTTCACAGTCCTACAAGGCAGTCCTCTCAAAAGTCAACATGTGGCCAGATCATTAACAAAGCATTGTCCCGATAGCACACTGATCACATTGCCAGCCCTCCTGGGTTCCTCTCTACCTCAGTCCTACAGGGTCCTCCCCTCCTCTCCTCTTTTTTTCTTTTTTAAAGATTTATTTATTTTCTTTTTTAAAGATTTATTTATTTATGTACAGGCCAAAGGTGTGGGGGGTGAGAGGATTCACCAGAGACAGAGTGGGGAACAGAACAGGCAGACTGACTGAAATACACTGCTGAAGGAGCAGCGGGGAAGACAGGAGAGGTCTGCTGTGCCATGTGGGTCACCTCTCTGGCCAGGGATCGAACTCATGCTGCAGTGGCTGTGGATAGCTTCATACTGCTGAGACTTAACCCCTGCACCACCAGAGAGGCCCCCTCTCGCCCACCCTTGACCATCTCCAACAAAAACTATGTGCTTGTGTACTACCACTTTTAGGGATTAGAGGCTCAGGCAACTCTTCTGACACCCTATCATATGCAAATGAGACAGGTTCAAAAGGGTAACCCACAAATACAGTTGGCAGTGAGAGCCCTACTCATGTCACTCAGCCTATGAAAAGCAGCTGGGTGTGTCCTTTCACATCCCAAGTTACATCTCCCCTATTAACACCTTTGTTGCTTTAAATTCTCCTCGTTTAACTTTTCTTTGAAAGCAGGTAGGTATTATTTAATTTTCTGAACAATATTGTCTGCATAATATTTTTAACTGATGTAGAATAAAAGTTCTGACACATATTTAAAAGACCTCAAGATAAATGAACTTTTTTTCTACCCATAAGATAATAAAAGAAGGCTTGCCAATCAGAATTTCCTTCAGTCTGAGTAAGATGTTCAGTCCGTCCAGGTATTTTGAGGACTGGATCACATTCATGTGAAGTGGGAGTTAGGAAACTGTGACTATCATGTTAGGAATAGTTTCTGAAATAGGCTGGGAACAAATTCTTGGAAAAACTGAATGTAATGTAAGAAATGAGCAGACTGAACACTATGCACACAAGGCTGTGGAAGTAGTTGATTAACGTGCTGGCAGCTATTGCTTCAAGAACAGATCTGGCAGTAACCAGAAAATGAAACAAAGGCAATGTGGATTTGTTTTCTTTAAAAGGTCGAGGAAAGTGTGTTCCTTGTAATTACCAGCTCATCCGACCTCCAAGTACTCTGGTGACCCTGCTCTCATTCGGTGTTGAATACTCTTTTGGGTTCTTGTAATCATATGAGTAATTTCTGCTGTTCCCTTTTAAACATCCATGGGTAAATTGTCTTTCTTACTATATCCGCAGACAATCCTAATTTATGTTAACATCTTGTCAGTGCTTCATCCTCTTGTCTTTTTTCAGTCAGATGAAACAAGTAGACTGTTTCATTACCTTCAGTTTTTCCTCTTCTAAGTCTACTCTGGAAGTAATTGCAATACTGTGTCACTTTCTAATTTAGAAAGATTATTACCTCCTCTAGGTAGTACTTTATACTTATTGAGGCTATATTCACTTGCATTGCCTACCTTGGTTTTAAGAAGTTTTAAGTGGTTGGCATGGGGTATTTCAGTTTCTTTATTCCTATATGAAATCAGCCCAAAAACAGCTCAGAAGAAAAAATGTTTAGGAGAGACACAAGCCCCACTTACAACTGCTGAAAATATTGGAGAGGACACTGGAAACTCCCTGTACTTGTGACTGTGATTTGAGTCTATTTAAATTATATTTAAAGAACAAGTTGACCCTGTTTAACTGGAGGACTTGAAGAAATACAGGCAACTGACATCTGGATTACATCTGGATTATATAGGATGACAAGGACCTAAGTAATGAAAGAATAATAAATGTCTGCTCCCACGGTCTTTTTTTGCAAGTACTTCTGAATAAGACACTGATAATAGCTATGATTCACACAGACTCATGTGCCAACCTCCCTAAAGCAGATCTCCTTAAGATTTCTTTAATGATGGCATCTACTCTAGCTATATTTATTGCTTTAACCAACATTTTCTTCTCCATATGGAAACTCATGGTGATTGCATATTTGATCTGGAGAGTAAAGGAAATGATGTGGCAATTTTATTTTATTAATTTACTTATAGCTGAATTAAAAATCGATCCTTTATTATAAACTTATTTCTTTTTTGGGTAGAATATACAATAAATATATCTTTTTATTGGACCCTATTAAAGAATGCAGACATTTTTCATTACGTAGATGCTTATCTATAAATTAAATCTAAGT